GTTTCATTTGAATTTAATGTTAATCACTAATTTGTTGGTTGATGCATCTTCTTGGAATCCGGTGATAGAGTAGTCGTAGTTCTTCTAAATTCTTGGATTAGAGTTTTTAATAATTTTTAACTTTTGATTCTAATTAGTTATTCTATAAATCAAACCCCCTCTAAAAATTTTATAATCGTATAACATTATCATCGTTGGGAGACGACTCGGATTGCACCTCTTACTACATAATTTTTATGCAATTCAATTTTTATTAATTTGTCCGAGAGTGACACTCGCGATCAAATTTTGGCGTCGTTGCTGGGGATGATGATGTTATTTGATTATATTATTATGTGTTAATTTGATTGTATTGCATATTATGTGTTACGTTTTACATCTAATTAGGATTATGCATAATTAGCGTTTTTCATCGAATTAGGATTCTACATAATTAGCATTTTTCATTTAGCATAATTATGTCTATGCATTCTGTTTTAGTAGCCTTTGAATAGCATAATAGGTAGTCATCTATCCTTGCTTAGTATTACATCATTCAATTCTCTACATTCTGTGTTATGTTTCTGCATTTTTGCATTCTGCATTCGTCGAAAAAGTACATGGCCATGTATATGACCGTGTAGATCACTGCCCAAAAATTCCAAAAAAAAAAAAGAAAAAACTCTCACACAGAGATGTACACGGTTAAGTACATGGCCGTGTACATGACCATGTAGATCTCTGTCCAAACTTAAAAGTAACATAACTTTTTGCATACAGCTCTGATTTCTTATTGTAATATATGCATTTCATATAGCTCAACGAGATCTACGCAATGGCAACAGATCGGAGGCCAGTTGGTGGTTTCTGAAGAAAAAAAATTATTTCTTTTCATTCTTATTTAGATATTATGGCTCAGAGAACTTTTTATATGGCTAATCATAAAAGACTAGAGAACAAGTTAGATGATTTAGCTTCTTTGATCGAGCAATTGACATTGTCACAAATGGCTACAATGTTGTGTGAAATTTATACTTCACCTGAACATCATACTGATTTTTGTCCTACATTGCATGAGCCTGCAGGTTGGATGAATAATTCAAACTTGGGATGGGGTAATTTTACACAGCAACAATATCAACTCCCACTACAAACTGCTGCACCTTCCAAGAATGAGTCTTCCTTAGAAGAGTTGATGAGAGAAATGGCAATTAACGATCTGAATTTTCAGCTAAGAATAGAAGCATCCATTCAAAACTTGGAAAATCAGATTGGACAGTTGGCTTCCACTTTGAATCAATTGCAAACTCAAGGTCCTGGTAATCTTTCTGCACAACCAGTTGTTGATCCAGAAAATGTTACTTTGAGTTTAAGAAAGACCATTCAAGACTCGCAAGAGCAGCAACCAACAGATGAAGATCTAAACAACTAATTATTTACACAGAAAATTCACAAAATCTAAACAACTAATTATTTAGAAAAGACTTGAACATTCTATTATTTTTATGAGTGTTTTAGCTTTCTCCATCATGTTTTTTTTATATCAAATGTATTAAAAACTAAGGTAAAATACTAGTAAAATATGGATTTATCATTTAGAAGGTTCAAGGGTCTTTTCAAAAGGTTCTCACTGGCTTGGTTTGTAACAAGGGTTTAGAGGTAATGGTTTAGAATTTTTGGGAAAAAGGTTGGAACTGGTACTGGCTACAAAAGCGGATTCATATAGCTTGACAAAGGTAAATGCTTTCATCACAGTTTGAGGCTAAAACATTCTTACAAGCATTTGTACCTCTTGCTTAAGTCCCCCTAGGAAGCAACTAAGCATATACTCCTCCATTAGGTGTAATCTAGCAATGATCTTATCAAATTGCTCATGATAGTTTGCAATGGATCTTGTTTGTCTTAACTTCATTAACTAGGCCATTGGATCATCACAAACCTCACCAAATTGGTCAATTAAAAGTTGTGTAAATTCAACCCAAGAAAACAAACAAGTAGAAGCTATGGTTTTCACAAAAGCTTGGTTGCATTAAAGAGCTTTCCCTTCGAAATGTATTACAGCCAATTGGACTTTAAAATTGTTAGGTGTTCCATCAATTGAGAAATAATTGTCACACTGATATACCCACTGTTTCACATTTTCGCCATTAAAATGGGAAAAATCTATATGCGCCAAATAGGTGCCACAAGAATAGGTGGAGGAAGAATTGTTACCACGAAGGCCATGACCAAAATTGGAATAATGAAATGGAATTTTGTGGTTGGTCTCGAGGAAATCTTGAAAAGATTGTTGAATGGAATTATAAATTGTTTGTTGTAGAGATTGCTGTAGTGACTGGTACAAAGAATTATTCAAAGAATCATGGAGGGTGGTTTGAATAGAACCTGCCATTTCAGCCAAACGCCTATCGATTCGTGTGTTGATGCAAGCTTCAACTTGTTCTTCCACGTCTCGCATTGCTACGTTGCTTCGCGTATTCTCTGCCATGAATTACACCTGGAACGTCTAATCTGATACCAATTGTTAAAGCAGGACTAGGAATAGAAGTAATTTGAAGAACTGCAGAACTTGAAGGAGATCCAATGAAGAAAGAACGGATCCCAAGACTATTATTGAATGAATAAAGATACAAGAGAATTACAAGAATTTTCTGAATGAATCCAATACTGCACTAACCTCCTATATATAGTTGTGTTGTTGCAACAACTTCTAAGTAACCTGCTAACTAACTTCCAACTGAAACGACATTACTTCTTTCTTATATACCTCCTTAGAAATTGATTATCCTTACTTGTATACCTCCAAAATATTTAAAAAACTGTGATTATCCTTGCTTGTATACCTCCTTAGAAATTGATGGAGGTTAAGTTACTTAACACTACTCCTTTCTTTATCCTCTCTCTCAATAATCGAGGAACCATGAGTTTTTCATCAAATTCATCAAAGAGAGTGAAATTCTAATGAAGGTAGAACTTGCCAAAAAGTGGTTTCTAAGTTATTAAGACTTGAAGATGATGGAAGATGAAGTTACGCTTTAGGAGAGATGGAGGCTAAGGTCGAGGAGAGGGATAACTTAGCAAAAAAGGAGGAATGTGTTACAAAAAATAATTTTTTTATTAATTGAAAAATAACATAAATATATTTTTAGAGACTTTTTTTATAAATATTTATTTTTAAATTATAAAAATATTAAAATAATGATAATATGAGCTAAATTTTTATCATTCAAATCATCACTTAATAAAGCTGATAGGAACCAATTTTTATCATTTTAAAATATTATATATTAAATCATAACAAAAAAAATTTAAACACCAATTTCAAAGGTCATTTAAACAAAAAAAAAATGTTTTATATATATATATATATATATAGTTTGATCTTGATTAAGCTAGAATTGAACTAACAAACCATGAACTTGTGGATTTATCTATTCAATTATCACTTCTATTTTAAAAATATTGCCTAAAGATTTTTAAATAAATAATTGTCCAGCCTTTTTTCATAATCTCAATGACAAACCATTCTAAGAAATAAAACATGTTGTAAATTTATGTTTAAGGGATTATTTGAAAATAAGAGTTTGGAGAGAAAAAAAAAAGACATATGTTATATTTTAAATAAATAATTTGAAATTAATATTTTTAGAATAAAAGATAAAATTAATATATAATTATTTTAATTTAAAATTAAAAAAAATGTCATTTCCTCCTCTTCCTCCAAAATTTATCTCCCATAGTTCTATACAAGAGACATTCCCCACTTGTGCCACAATCATTCAGCGCTGGATATGTTTGAAAATTTTGCCAAAAGCATGGTGGCAATCCTTATATACAGTATTACAGTAGTTTTATGAAAAAAAAAGTGTATCAACCACAAACGCTGCACTTGGAAGAGCGTTCAAAGGCTACCATCCATAGATTTCTTAGCTCACTTCTCTTTAAATTAATTTTAGGAAAATGGCTAGTTAGCAAGCAATGATTAAAAAAAGCGAAATGATAATAACTCATTGTATGAAGAACAAACTATTTAATAGTTATTTTAAATTAATTAAATTTTTTTAATAAATTATATTCAAGACCTATTCTAATGACTTAGTTTTAACATAATAAAATATAAAAATTGATGAGGAACTGCACTGGATCATGATCAGCATCCATTCCATCTCTGGTTATGTTCTAGAGAGTAGAGAACCCTCAACCACTAAGCTACCTTTATTAGAAGAAAATAGGTATCATAACTTGATGCTCTTCTTAAATCAAGATTAAAATTTTAGCTCTAATATATAACCATCCACCTTTAACGCCGACTTTTATTACAAATTTTAATCATGATTATAGAACATAAAAATATACTTAGAATTTTACACTTAAATTGTCCTATTACAAAAGGCCAAATGAACAAACAAAATTGTCTTAATTCGTCATACTAGGAACGTGGGTTTCTCTTCAATACCCAGAATCTAGTTCATGAACCTCCAAGAAACCAAACACGGTCTCCCACAAGGCTAATTCATTCATTCTCACCAGTCGCTACCACTAACGAAACAGCCTATGGATGGTCTTCTATTTACAGCTCAACCAACGTGTCTAAGCCAACCACCAAGGCTTAGGATTATCCATCCACGAGGACCCAGTTCGCTTACAAGTGTTTAGATCAATGTTTCCTAAAATAGGATAATTACTTATTTTTACTAACTACTCGAGACAACTTTCAAAAAATAAAATATTTCTAAGTATAATCATTTTAGAACCAGCACTAAACGTTGTCTTGTACACAATTCAACTTCAACAGTTTAACCAAGCCTTTATTTAAAAATCCATTTATACTCGAAAAGACATTTGAAATTTGAAACTTTTCGTAGCATCCAAGCAGCAGGTAAATTAAGACGGCCTGGGAAGGGGAAAGGGGGTAAATAAGGCATAGTAATTCACAGGGATCTGTCAAATTTTAAATGACACGCATTCACAAGTTCTCACAGAGCCCAAAAGATTCGAGGAACCGTGCACTTTTGTCATACGTGTGGGCATCTACATCGACTTTTAAATAGATTTTTGCATGTCCTTTCCTGTCAGTAAGAGAAACAAGAGGGGCAGCGAGAGATGATACATATCCAAGAGAGAGAAAGTGGGTATCACTCACATGGGGTGGGTATTGGTGGGTGGAACCCACACATAGCCTGGCGTTTTATAAACGAGAGAGGCCCACTTGCAGTGTCAGCAACCCCATGTGATGGGTGTGTGCATTGTGGACCTGCCTTATTTCCCCCTTCAATAATGGCAAAAAATAAAGACAGACCCCACTACCCACCAATTTGCAAATTAATAATTGCAGGAACAAAGACAAATTCTCCTTTAAAATTCAGAACAAGCACAGCAGAGGAGCCCAAAAAATTAAAATAAAATAAAGATAGCCAAGAAAAGTGTCCAATTAGTCTTAAACTCACTTTTGCTTTCTGCTTTTTCTTTCTAAATCTTTCTCTTCTCTGTCTGATAATTCTAGGGGGTTGGTAACTGTGTATAACAACTAAATAAGGAGTACAGACACTGCTAAAACACAAAATAGAGCTAGAAAATCTCCTTTTTGAACTTCAATAACCCACCAAAGACTAATAATAAATATACCTTTCCCCCTCTTCACTCCTTGTCTTCAAATTTCAATTACTTATCATATTTGAATTTGAAACAGCCATGTAGTTATAAAACTCTTCTTCCTTTTACCACTTCTTCCTCTGCATGCTTCTGCTATGTTGTGCTTCAGCTGTACAAAGACAAAATTATCCCTCTAAACATAGAACACCACTAATACATCCAACATGGGTAAATGAAGAGAAGGGGGGAGGGGTATTACAGTGACAGGTGTTACTACTACACATTGACACTTGATTCTGTGCTATTTTTAATTCTCTTTTTTCTTTTTTTTTTACCTGTGGTTCACCTTACTACAGAAATTGAGAAGTGAAAATCGTACAATAATGATAACAAAAGAAAGCGAATGGCTGTCCCACTTCCTTTACTGAACTGCTTTTTAAGTATGCATTTTGTATGGTAGTAAGTAGTATAGTATTGATGATTGATGGTGATGGCCGCAATGGTGGTGATTCTCTACAAGATATGTTTCATGTCCAGGGATTGATTAGTCATGGTTCTCTTCCTGTAAAATAATATTGAACAAAAACCAAAAATATTAAGACCAAACACTAGCAGACTTAACTTAGTTTAATGAACAAAAGCAACAAGTGCTACGCACGTTTAAGACATGCAGCAAATATAGTTCAAAAACTAAAAAAAACCGTAAGTAACTTACCTGAACCAAAAGAAACTAAATTCTAAATACCAATTGGCCCACCGGTGCCAGCAAACATTCCGATGGATCCACCGGAAGAGAACCTGAGTCGAAATTCATATAATCAAAAGCTCAAAAAACTTTATGGATGCTGAAATTGAGGAGGATTGGAAAGAGCTAAATGAGACATATAATGGTACCTTGGTATTTGGCAGTTAAAGGATTTGAAGGTGCCCATGTCAAGAGCAGATGCAGTTGGAAGTAAAGTGCTAGTACTAAATTTAGTTTTGGCAGATGCAGCCGAGGCATCTGAATCAATGGCCTCATTAGGTCCATTGGTGAAGGCAGCCATGTAGTCTCCAATAGCCTTTGTTGGGGAAGCAAAAGGGCTATCAGGGAGATTATGCTCCAAGCTGCATTTATTCATAGCCCATTTAGATACACAACCTTTAACAGACAATCGACGTCAGGATTTCAAAGTAAGGATTGAAAATCAGGAATAAATGCAGAGAAGACTTTTAGCATGGACTAAAAGAGGAATTTGATGCAAAAAAGGTGCTTTTGCTATAATGGTACCCTTTGATTATTCTAGATGAGAAAAGTTTTATACCATTCTTGTAATTCAAGATCTTCGTGACTTGAGTTCTGCTTGCCATTGCCATTGTTTCCATTCTCTCCATTGACTGCTGCAACTTCCTTGCCCGTATAAATGTTGACATCAACAGGAATTGATGCAGTGGTTGTGGGAGCAGAACCTGAACCACTCTCTGGAATCAAACACCAAAAATAAATCTCAACTCAACTTCTCCAATCCAATTACTAGAAAGCACTAAATTCAAAATAAGTTGCACTTTGAAATGGTGGAGGAAAATAAATGTACATACCCTCTTGACTCTCTGAGCTGCTGCTGGGAAAGGATGAAAGACCAAGATTTTGATTGAAAAGGTTAGGAGAGTGGGTGGGAGAAGGAATTGGACTTCCTGTGGAAAGTGCACGATGGTGTTGCTTTTTTATGTCAATAAGTTGTAGACCCATAAGCCTTCTACTTTGGAGCTCAAGGGCTTGTTGAAAGTCAGCTTGTTCCTCTAGCTTCCTCCTCCACAGCATATCTTGAGCATTGTAGTACATTCTCCCACCTAAAAATATTAGGAGGTAGCCGACATGTTTAAGAAGAGAGGTTGAAAAAAACACAATCTCAAATGAAGAAACAAGGAGAGGGTAATGCTTGAACTTACCAACTTGGAGATCAAATGGATCTCTAGCATCGAGTCCAGTAGGTGTGCCACAAGGTGAGAAATCACCCCTATCAATTTGCTGCTGCTGCTGCTTTCTGAAATGTCAACAAACATAAGCAAATAGTTCAAAGCATATGCGAAAAGAATATCTATGAATCAAGAGAGTAAAAGAGTAGGAAATGGATGTGCCTGTACTTGTCAGGTACTTTGCCCTTCTCCTTGTAAGGCTTAACAAGCACTCGAGCATCACAAACAAAATGAGGGTTTCCTTTAGACAAAATGAGCTTCACTGTCTCAGGATAAACAAAGGTGACAAATCCAAACATCCGTTTTTGCTGATATGGGATCCTCACATCTTGAACAGGCCCATAAATGCTGCACCACCATTATCCAAAAAAACAGGTCAATTTCTACACTGAATCAGTAAGCACTGCAGAATCCAAATCATAAAGAAATCTATAGAAGGAAAAAGGAACCTAAAGTAGTTTGAAACATCTTCCTCTCTGAAAGTGCTATCTGCTGGGAAGGTCAAGTAGATCTGCCTAGAAGCTGGGTTAACCATTCCAGGACTGTTCAAAGAAAAATCACTCCTTTCTAGCCTAGATCGTCCAAATTTATGTAAATCCTCATTCATCATAAGAGCAGCTGCAGCAGCAGCTCTGCAATATCATCCATGATTAGTATTCATCTAACAAAATATGTTGGAACTTGGAATGCAATAATTCATAAAGAAACATTATTTCATACCTCTGGGTATCACTTTGTTGCTGCAGCAGTAAATTCATGCACTTTGGTGAGTATGGAAAAGAAGAAGATGCCATGAGTTGAGAAGCAGCAACCAATCTTTGCTGCTGAACACTCTTAGATCTGAGGAGTTCATGACACTGGTCCATCATTTCGAACTTACTAGGAGACCCAACCATTGCAGCACCCTCAGCGTCTCCAATTCCTCCTCCATGAAGGAACCTACAACTAGTCCCATTTTTGCAGTATCCTCTTGCAAAGTAAAGGCAAGGCTTCCACCCCAATCCAGAATTTGGGTCCTCAGACCCTAAACAAGCATCATTGACTGAACAACTCCTACGATGAAGTGACCCTCCCCACCCATACGATGGAAAGAGAGAAGGGTCACCACCATTAGTAGGACTAGAAGATAACTCTGGCTGAGAGTAGAATAAATCTGAGTTCTTTGAAACAAGGGAGGGTGACCCTTCATATAAGAAAGAGAGCTGGTCTTGAAGTTGATACTCATCCACTGGATCACACCCTCCATTTCCATAGAAAGATGAAGTGTTCATGGAAGTAGAAGATCCAACAACCAAGTTGCTGGGGCTCATCAAACTATCATCAGGGTTTTGAAGTTCAGATAGAGTACTAGCCCATGAAGCTGAAGTAGTAGAAGGCTTTGGAATACTGAGTGTAGGTGGAAGTGTCATACCACTGTTTATGACCCTTGAAGTGTTGGAATTTTGCCTTGAAATAGGTACAGGGTTGGTGGAAAGGAAAGGGGATGCAGATGAAGGTGTGGAGGGTGTACAAGGAGAGTGACAGTGAGAGTTCAAAGGCAACAACCCCAACTCCTTGCGTGCTTTGAAAATCACTGAGTGAACCAAGGCTTCTGAACCAAAGGCTAATCTAATCATTTCTTTCTCACCATGATCTTGAATCAGAAGTAGACCCATTATTTTTGAAGCATTTTCAGGGTCCAAGTTTTGGATCCTTGAAAACACAATCCTTGTAGCTTCATAACCATCCATGCTTAGAAAGCAATACTCTCTTTAGTTTCCACAAACAAACCACCACGCAATCCCTAAAAGACTCCTTAACTTTTGTTTTTCCTGTTGGTGAGGTGAGTGTGTGTTTCTCTATATTCTCTTTGTCTCTTTCTCTCTCTATCTTTCTGCCCCTACTACAAGTAAAGTTTCTTTCTCACCCACACACAAGCTTTACCTACCAAACCAGAGATGAGTGGAGCAAAGTGTTGTGTTTTTTTCTCATATTCCTGCCAAGCCCAATAAAAGCAAGTTAAAGAAAAAAAAGAGAAAGGAAAATCAAGAAAGCGAAGTGCAAAAGGAGTACTCTCGTGTGGTAGATTAAAAAGGAGACTAACGGAGAGCACCCATTCCTAAAAAGAAAAAAATAGTGGTTAATTTTTTCTTTAGGAATGCCAAAGTTGCAGAAACAGGAAGAAGAAAAACAAACAGTAACAAATACGAACTCCCTTCTTTCTTCTTCAATTAAATTTGAAAGCCAGTAGCAAGCAGAAGAATTGAGACATACCCATGAAAGGATAACTTAGTTATTCCTCTTGGCCGCACACACAGTAGTGGTCAATCTTCACTAAAATAAAGCCCATACCACACACAAAGCAGATGAACATGCAAGAAGTTGCAGGAGCAACAGAACAACCATCAATTACTTCACCACTAGCTCCTGCAATGTTTTTATGGTGTTCTGAGCACAGTCAAGTGAAGACCTTTCTCTCTCTATAATAATACTATATCCTGTCTGTCTTGTATCTATATCCCTATATTTCCTTTTCCTTTTTCTTTCTCTCACTCACTGCTCAAAAACTCACTCTATGTGGAAGGCGCAGCAACAAGTGGGAGTGTTGATGTGTTGGGGAATTGGTTTGGGTGATTTGAGCGGATCCAGATCTGTGCCCAAATGCTGCACGTTCACTTTCCTCTAACTTCTGACACTCTCACTATTAACTTCGATTTTATTTTTAGCCTTCTTTCCCAAGCACATTTTCTAATACCTTTCACAATGCCTCAATCAGAGTGTGTGTCACACGCTCCAACGTCACCGTTTCGAAATCATCATTCATTGGAGAGTGAGCAGCACGCACTTGCGTCCTTTTGTCTTGATTGGATCATCATATGCTTTTGTACGCGAGTCAATGCCACTCCAATCAACCCTGCTTTTCTTCTTTCTCTCACTATATATATATATTTTTTTAAAAAAAATACTAAAAACTTTTATAAAAAATTATAATATTTAACATTAATATATTAAATATTAAATATTTTATAATTTTTCATGAAAATTATATACGTTAAAAATTTAATAAAAATAAAAATATATTATTAATATTTATTACATTATTATATAATGTTACTCATTTTTTATGTTTTACATAATATTATTTTAATAAATATTTTTATAATAAAGTTTATCATAAAAATATGAGATAGCATTAATAATGTGATAAAAAATTATAAAATTAATAATAATTTTGCTATTATTTTTGAATCATTCCTCTCTAAGCTAATATTTTTTAGTAGTGTTTTTTCTAGTTAAATTGACCAATAAAGCAACTTTAGAATTTATTAATTTAAGTAATCCTGAACTAGATTAAATTAATAATAATTAAATATATATTTAATATTATAAAATTCATGTATCCTTTGTATCGTTAAATAAAAAAATATTTAATTTTAAAAATATAAAAATGTATTTTGAATCTTATTGACAAAAATAATTTTATTCCTTAATTAATTAAAATAATTAATTAATATATGCATTTTTTTATTATTTAAATAAAATTTCTTGATAAAATAATATAAATATGAAAAAGTAGTTGGATAAAAAAAAAATTGTCTCCACATGTAGTAAGTGAGTCTATTACTGGAGATTTTTTATATATACAAAGACTTAAATTCGAGACCTTACTTGAGTAATACCGAGTCGTTTGCCACTTGAACCAACCTTAACTTATAAAATATTTTAAATAAATTTTTTTATTAAAAAATTACTATTAATTTTCTCATTTCTTATAAGCTCTAATTAAAATACAAAATATTTCAATCAATTTTTTAGTTGTCTTCTTTTTTTCTTTTTCTTCTTCCCCTTCAAACTCTAACAAAAATTTATTGTTTCTCTTTTTCATTTTCATCTTTTTGTTCCTCCTCGTACTCGTCATCTATGTCTTTCCTCCCTTCGAATTTCAGTTAAATATTTCTCTTTTCTCTTCCTTTCCTTTCCTCTAATTCATGCTTTAACAACTTGTTCTCAATGACTTTTTGAACTTTAAAAAAATTGAGATTTTTTTATTGAATCTGGGGGGACATGGGCAAAGATAAGGAGATAGACAATGGCAGCAATATTGTAATACCTTAATTTAATTTCAAAATAATAAATTTTATAAAATGAGAATAATAAAAATTTTGTTTAAATATAATTTCCTAATACAAAATTTCATCAAGGTTTTTCAAAACAATAAGAGATTACAAATTTATATCTTTAACTACTATAGGACCAATCCAATTACATTGTAATTCCAAAATAAAATCTAAGCCCTATAGCAGTTTCATCTACTCTTTCACTGAGTCCAGTGCTGATCATCTTGGTCACCTGAAAAATAAATGTAAGGGTGAGTACTCTACACTATCCAACATAATCAAATATAAAGTCTCACCTTGCACATGTGTCACATCATTTCAAATACAATTGACACAGGTATAATCACAAGCAATAGTATCAAGTAATTCATTTCATTTCATAACCAGTGCGCTCACTGCAACAACAACAATATTTCATGCACAAGTGCGCTCACACTCACTGTGGCACTGTGATCATAGTTTCTCACCATGGATGGTCGCCGGTGTAATGTCCCAAAAAATGTTATATTGTCCGAGTATATATATATATATATATATATATACACACACACATACACATATTGTTTTGTGGCTGAAATAAGATTGAGAAAAGTAGGTTAAATTTGGGTGCAGGACATTCTCGCTGTAGTGAGATAATTCTCGTTGTAGCGAGAGGTCCCTGGGAGAAAGGCATGTGTCTGTCGCCATCTCGCTGTAGCAGGGAATGTCTCGCTGTAGTGATAGAGCGACAGTTTAATGTGCAATTTTGGGTGCAGTCTAGCTGTAGCGAGAGAGTCTCACTATGGCGAGATTCTCCAGAAACTAGAGTGTAGAATGGTTGAGTTTTTCACTGTAACGAGAATGGTATGAGTTTCTCGCTGTAGCGACAGAGGACGTCACTGCAGCGAGAGGCTTCTTGTTGTAGCGAGAATGGCCACTGTAGCGAGCCTGTCACGACCAGAGGGATATTTGAAGAGTTAAGGCTCGAGGAAGGGGCCATTTTTTTCCCATTTTTTCCTTCCCTCTTCCATGATTCTCTCTGCCCAACCCTTCTCGCCGATTAGAACCCCCAAGGACGTTTGGAAGCTAGATTGAAGGTGAGGGACACGTTTAGTGCTCTTGGAAGTAAGTTTCCATGGCTAGGGTTTTGGTTTTTGGTCCCTTTCTCTTGTTTCCGAGGTTCTCTCTGAGTTCCCATGAAATTTTTACGTGCTTTAGGGTCGAAAACCGTGTGGGGAGTCGTTTCTACCATAACTTTGGGTCCGATCTTCGTTTGAGGTAAGTGGAGGACTTTACTCTAGTTATCTTTGTTAGAAATAGGTCTATTTGGTTGTTTATAGCAATGAGATAGAAATGGGAGGCGGAAATATGTGTATTGATGAATTATACGAATTGGGTTGAGTTCGGAGGTGTCCAACCTCTGACACATTGTGTGAAATTGAGTGATGTGATTTGTGTTAGTTGTCATTGGATGCTAGGAAATGATGTGTGTATGATAGAAATGTGATTGTAAATATGTTGAGCATGACGTGTGACTATTGTGATGAAATAGTTGGTTGCAATGTGGATGAAATTGTGTTGACATGCCCTTGATTGCTAATTGAATAATGTGAATGGTTGGAAATGAGTGTGGAAGGCATGTTGAATAAATAATGATGTGTTTGGGTGTTGGAACTATGAATGGTTCAGAGATATACTAAGGGTGTAGAAGATGGGGGTGGTAGAAATACCTTGGGGAAGAGAGAGTGGTGGTGACACCAACAGTGAGTGTGGGTGCACCACAGGCCACACACTCTCCTCCTGACTCGGCCTCTGACTAACACCTTTGCCTAGGGGGCTCAATACCACACACGTGTATCCGTGGAGCGGGAGCTATTCGGGCGACCATTCATGGTATAACTGAGTAAGTCCCTGAGGTTGAGGGCATCAAGAATCTGTTATTACAGTGCCACAGTGAGCGTGGATACGTACAATGAGCGCACGTATGTTTGTATATGTGTGGATTGGTTGTTGGTGCAGTGAGCGCACCCGTTGTTATTAGAAATAGAATGAATTGTATTTGTGATCAGGTTATTTGAACGAGATTAGAAACATGTGGAATAGGTCAGGTAAGTCTTTGTGTTTGTTTGTGTGTTTATGCTAGAGTAGAGGACTCACCCTTACGCTTGTTTTCAGGTAATCAAGACGATCACCATCGGGACCCTTGAAGGATGGATGAAATTGCTGTAGGGCTTATGAACTTATTTTGTAAAACCTGATGTATTAACTAAGTCCTATAGCAATTACTGATGTAATTTGTTATTTACCCTATTTCGAACATTTTATGAAACTTTGGCTTGAAAACTTTCTGAATGGATAACTTCTTTATTTTGAATTTTTGTGAAAAATCTATTTATTTAGAAATTAAAATATAAGGTCTTACAATTGGTTACCCCTGCCTCACGAATATTGCATGGGCAGTCACGAGTTGCTCGGTAAACGTAATGGTCAAAGGTCTAGTCAGGAGGAGAGTGTGGCCTGTGGTGCACCTACACTCACTGTTGATATCACCACCACTCTTTCTTCCCCAAGATATTTCTACTGTCCCTATCTTTCACACCTCTAGTGTATCGTTGAACCATTCATAGCAACCTTACAACGACATTTAACATGCCCCATTCACACACATTTTAATTGCACACAATACTCATATTTGCATACGGCACTCAAGCCTACATTCATTCACATTACACGGTACTCAAGCCCATAATCATTCACAGTACATGGCACACAGGCCCATATTCACTTACATTTATTAAATCACCAATCAATTGCATTTCATAATACCCAATCACCCACAATGGTCCGCCTAACTCATTGCACATCACATGACATTTAAACATACAAATATTTCCATCAAAACACACGTTTCCTACCCTCTATCTCAACCACATTACAATATTTAATCAGAATAAATGGAAATAAAAAACGAGGGGATAAGGTAGAGTCCCCTTTACCTCAATTTGAAGACCCACAACGTGAATCAACACTAGAATTGTCCCCCACACAGGTTCCGTCCTAAATACATGGAGAATTTCTATGAGAACTCAGAGAGAACCACAAAAACAGAGAATGTGATTGGGAAACCAAAACCCTAACCATAAAACTTACCTCTAAGCGCCCCAAAAGTGAATCCAACCTTTAATCTTGCTCCCAAACAGCTTTGGAGACAATTTAATCGGTGAAATAGGGCTTGGGAGTGAGAGAATCGAAGAAATTTTGAAGAGAGATATGAGAAATAAGATTCCCCAAACCCTAAACCCCTTTAAATCTCTCTCTCGCTACAACAAAAATCTCAGAGAAAACTACATCCTGATTTCTGCAGAATCGTGCTACAGTGAGACCCTTTCGCTATAGCGAGACTCCATTAAAAAAATGCACCCCAAACTGTCGCTCTCTTGCTACAGTGAAAAGGCGACAGTTTCACGCCTTCCTCCTAGGGCCCTCTCGCTACAGCGAGAACACCCTACACCAGACATTTAGCTAAAATTTCAGTCCAATTCTAATCGTCTATAACAATTCTAGTTCCACTATAGTTAGTACACATGCTCATACCAGCCTACATCATCACATATACATATATTCTCGTTACAACTCATATATATATATATAAAGTACACAACACATGAAAATCCTCAGACGCCCTTATATTAATAATCAAATACTATTACAAAACTCGGGGTGTTACAAATATCAAGGTTACCAACCTTATTTTCACTATATGTTTTTATCAATACTTCGCTTCGTAGCTTTTTTTTTTATTTGACCTTAAGACCCAAT